AGTGGCATGACCCGTAAATAGGTGAGAAATCAAGAGTAAATGGGGAGTGGTGGGATGAATGACTGATGTTGAATCCCTTGAATCATGGATCGTTTGACTTTGATTGACATTTGAATGTCTTAGTGATGTCAGAATTCAGTGATCTTGGGCTCGTTGGATTCATCTCGTCGAGCCTCTCGATTCGACTATAAGCATGTCATGTTTGGAAACCATTTGGTAATCTAAATTATGGTTCAAACCCTCCAACAGCGCTTCAGACCCTTGATTTGGACCCATTCGGGCTCGGATTGAGTCAAATTTGGTGTCGTTGGGCTCGTATTTCCGAGACGTTCTGTTTGACAGTAAGTTTACTGAAATCAGAGTTAGGATGATCCCAATTTTAATTTCGGAAGTTTTCAACTTGATTTTGCATCGAGATTTATGCCCGATCAAGATAATTTTTTGATGACGTATCAATAAGGTTAATAGTCCTTAAATCATTATCTTTTTTTTTAATAGTTAACCCAAATAAATCAAAATAAATGCATATTGTACTTATAGAGATTTGATTTTGGAGATTTTATCGAATGTAAATAATCTTATGAAGTCAGTCCCTCTGGGATATAGAGTAACCCATACTCCCTAGATTTTATTTTGAGCTAACATGACTTATTTTGAATGTTTTACCACATGACTATATAAGATTTATTAAGTTTATCACTTTCGGCAAAATTTCTTATATCTTCTTATGAATCTTATATAAAGATGAACAATTTCATTTCATCATCTATTTTCCACACCAACATGAGATATTGAGAAGCTAACTTCATGACTTTAACATACAAGTAACTTTCTTACTGCTTTTTAAAGCAGTTTTTTTAGTACAAAAATTAAAAATTCTCTGCTAAAAAGTTTCTTTAAAAAATAGTAAGAAAGATGTCCAAAATCTTATAACTGGATTGGATTCACCAAAATCAACCAACAACAATATTAGTTAAATTTAATGAGCTTTAATTTCCTCTCTAACATCGTGCCATAATTAGTTATTATACCACAAATATTGGGGTTCTTGGTTGGCATAAAAAATAAAAATATATAATGCCACACGATGCTTAATTTCCAATAAGACCCATAGAAGGGACATGTCCTATTGTGTTCTCTTGCAACAGACCAACCCAAGATTAGACATATTTTCTTCTTTTAATTAAACTTAAAAAAACACAATAAACTACAAATTGCTGATAACTTCTAGTGTACACAAAATAACTCATCCACAAAAAAATATTTTCGTTTCTCATAAAAAATGTATATATCACTTTATAATACAATACATAACAATAGACTAAAATACATAAGAGAGCAATTTAACTAACTAACCATGATTGAAAAAAAAGAACTACATATACAGACTCAGATATGTAAGATCTTGACTCAGCTACTCTATTGACTATTTTCCTTCCCCATATCCTAAAATTGAATGCAAATGAATTGTGTGCCAACACAGTTCAATAGGTCACACTCACCGATATAAATATAAGTTTTCATATAAATCATTTATTCAACATTCAGATGAGTTATAAAGTAGCTCATAACAATCACTGTATGAAACCGAGTAGTGCTTCAATTATGAGAAACTTAAAAATAATACATGAAAGTAAATACATCATATATTATAATAGAAAGTAATTTATTTCCTTTAATCCCATATACCTCCCATCATAAATAGACCCTTATGACTCTTGCGGTGGCATATTAGAAAATATGACCTTATTTCTCCTAATGCCCAACACTAGACCAAAATGTGTATATAAGACTAACATAGAATATACACATAACAAAAGAATAGAACTTTGTGTGCCTTTAGTATCAGAATAGAACTTCCCCCATACACACTGAATCTTCTCAGAATCATACATTTCAAGCAGGTAAATATATAATTCATTGTATTGTAATGGAAGAAATATAAATGAACTCTTTTCAGAATTTATTTAAATACTTTGATGATTGTCAACAAAATACACTATTGAGCAAAAATTCACTACGTTAAACAATTAACAAGTTACTAGAGATTGTTCAGAGCATTGTTTTGTGGTTTTAATTGTATTACAATATTATTTTTGGGAGCCATAATGATTTTCTAATTTGTCAAAAATATCATAATTTTCAATTTACCTACTAAAAACTTCCCAAAAAATACCTAAATGTTCATGATTATCATCTCCATAATATACACAAAGTTACACGGTAAAAGTTTTATAGATATCAAGTTATCCTCATTTTTTTTTTCTAATAGAATTATAAATTAAATCATAAAATTATTGAAACTCTTGTATGTTTTAAAAGTAAGATAGACAACATGCTATATACCTCAAACCTGATAACTTTCAGAACTAGGCCATCAGCTAAAAATGGACTTGAGACAGCCAAAATTGGCTTTCGCTCTCTACAATTCCTCATCTCTCTCAAGCCGACTACCTCAATGGAAATGGAATGAATTGAATAGTGAAAAAAAATATTTTTAATATTAAAATTTGGCCAAACTTCACGACGCCCAATCATGCGAGCTGTATTGTCCCTCTAGAAGACCCCAACATTGTAGTGCCCCCCTCCCCCAACATCACAACATTTAATTAAATGGCCAAAATTATAGATATCACAAAGCTACGACACTGCCTATCCCAACGCCTGTGGCTCCCCAAGGAAAAATTTTAATATTTGCAAAACATGCACACAAACTACGTTGACCTGCTTTATAACACGTATATTTTTACATGCATACACAAATATTTTTAGACACATGCAAAAGGGTTTAGAGTTAGAAATTCAATTGATTACCTTGAATTAGATCGAGCAAGAATGGGTGGAATGGTGAATTGTTCTATACGTGTTACATTATAACCCATAACATGAGGTGACTAGCTTTAAACCCTATGATGACCATAGGAGTCTATTTGACTTAGGTTTTGTTTGAAACAATTTTAATTGTAAGAAAAACAATTAAAAAAAATAATGTGTCTGGAAAATAGTTTTTTCATTACTTTCAAAACTTTTTCCTTTAAAAAAACTATGTGTGAAGTTAAGTCTGAGAAAGATCTTTAAAAATAAAATATAGAAAAACTTAAGCTATTCAAAACAAAGTCCTAATAAAGTCATTAAAGGAGACCATTGATCATTCAACTCCCATTCTCAAATCCTCTCTTTATTAGATTTGATCATGGATGTCCCTTTGTTAAATTTATCCCTTCTTAGTCCTAATTGGTCATACTATACTAACTTGATGGTATTAGCACTTAATATATTTCGCATTGGTTTAATTGCATATGATCATCTTTGACTTCATATTATGGTCAAACACAACGAGCTTATAATTGATTATGTCTAATGAGTCATGGTTGACTTTATTTGTGATCTTTGGATATAACTTCCAAAGCAAAAGTGTGTTGAGCTCATACATATATTCTCTATTGCTTGAATTGTACTTTGAGACATTGAACCTTATAGGCAAATTTCTTTAATTTTAGAAATTAGGAGGCATATATAGTCAAATTTCTTTTAAACAATAATTTCCATTTACATAATTAAACAAAAATAGTATCAATTTGCTTAACATGTTTAAATGAATTAATGTTAATTTAATTTTTTAATTAATGCATATATATCTAATTTGCTTGAATATTAATAATCTTTGTCATCAATTCAAATGATACAAATTTAAATAATTTAACAATAATTAATATTCTAATTAATCATTAATCAGTAATTTATAAAACTAATTTAATATAATACTTCACATTTAATCAAATTAAATAAAAAGTTCACTAAATTTTTTTAATTTATTCTATTTTTAATTAAACTAATATTAATTAATAAATGTATTTATTTATTAATATATCTTATTAATTGATATCAAAAGATATTAGTAGCTTTAAAAAAAAAGGAATTTTATAAAGAAAATTATCTTTACACCCTTAATGCCCAAACCCTAGTTTTTATTCTCGCAAATATATACTTTCTTAAGTGCTAGAACCCTGAACTCTCGAACTCAATCCCTCGAAGCAAGGAAGCGAGGGTGTCGCAATCAGAGATCTCTGGAGAAGGCGAAAGTGAATTTGTAAAACTTTCAGATTTAAGTTAAATCCATCCAAAAGTAGGATTTGGTACGCTGGAAGTGGAGTTCTTGTTTCGCTCTCTTCCACGACGTTCTTTGCTTGGAGTTCCCATTCACACACTTTTTTGACACTATCTAGTAAATCTACCAAACTCTAGAAGTCAATAAATCTGATATTTACACCAACAATCGAATAACAATGGATTTTACTGGACGGAGATGAGATTTAGGGGACTCTCAAATCGTGTTTGGCATGATTTATGCTAAAGCATGCTCAAATCTTGCATAAGTCCCGTTGTCTGGGGTTGTTTGACAACAAGTGAGATTTAGACTTCGTTTGAGATGACTTTTTTACTGCTTTTTAAAACAGAGTTGTAGTACAAATTTTTTAATTTTTGTACTAGAACTCTGTTTTTCCAAGAAGCAATAAAAAGTAAATCCCCCAACGACGCCCTTAACTTTAGTGAGATTTAGTAAATAATTTGTAAATTTAGATTTAGTAAATCCTGAAAACTGTTTCCTTATAAAATGTTTGGTAACATATTTCAGGATTTATGACACTTAAGATTTAAATGTGAAGAATATAATTATAAATTTAAAATAAATTAATGTGTTATGAATTAAAATAAGTACAAGCCAATCATTAATTATTATTAGACTATTAATTAATATTAATATATATATTTTAAGTTATATTATTAAAATAATTATATATTATTAATTACTAATTATATTATTAATTATTTAATTAAGTTAAATTGGAAAATTGATTTATGTATTAATTACACTATTAATTAATTAATTAATATTTAAAATATATTAATTAAGCAATAATAACTTAGAGGCGTTTAGGGTTTGCCTTTCATCTCCTAGTGGTTGCTGTTCGGCTTCGTTGCTTCGCAGGAGCTTGTAGGAACTAGAGATTGCACGCGTCGCGCTTTCGGCTCCTTCGTGGCTGTTCGACTTCGCTCGACGACTTTCCCTTCCTATCGGATCGGAAGTTACGACATTTTGATCGGAAGCAACAACGGGAGCTCGCTGTCTGTGAAGGTAACTTTCTACCTTTCGCGCGCTTCTTCGGCCAAATCCCATAAATCCGCCGAACCGAGGGATTTAGTAACTCTGGGATTTAAGCCGGATATCCTTAAATCCGGGATTTACCCATCGCCGGGATTTAACGCGCCCACAAAAACCATTTAGCTGGAAGCGTAAATCCGACTTTAATCCTGCTGTAAATCTGATACCAAACAGCCCGAGTTATGACATTGTAATTTTTGATGTTTGGCTTAAATCCTGCCACTAAAAAGCCACTTCAGCTCTTGCTGTTTTTCAGGCTTGGAGTTTTCGGCTGCGATGACACGGCAAATGACGTTTGGTGCTTAATAAGAAAAACCTTGCGTGAACCCAGTGCTAAACCTATATCCGTTGAAATTGCCGTAGTTTGATCAGCTTCCAAAATGTCCGAGGCGCGGTTGCGACCTGATGAGGTTCTCTTTTCATTAAAAATTCAAACTTTAATTATTTCATTTTTAATTGTTCCATTGTGATGGTTCCACCGAGTTCTATTGACAACTGTGTTTCACAATCTACATTACTGTCTAATATTCCAATTTTCTTCCCAGGGACTCGTTTTTTTTGAAAATGTTTACCCGGGATTATTCCCCATATTGTTTTATTTTCTATGATATATATTGTTAAGGACCGCTGTATATTATTATAACATCAATAAATTCTTGTGTAGGCGGCATCTGAGACTGTGGAGTCTATCGATTTCAGCTTTTACTCCGCAGACGAGGTTAGGAAGATAAGCTTCAAGGAAATCACGAACGCAGAACTTTTTGATATCAAGGAATCACCTGTTCCGGATGGATTGTATGACCCGGCATTGGGACCGATGAAGGAGCTTGATACGTTAGTGCTTCCTACCATTAACATCTCTATAGACCTCATGTGCTTCCTTTCTTTTTGGTTCTTTTGAAATTCTAAAGTTTTTTTGGGGATAAATGCTCTATTGATCTGCAAACTACCTCTCACGTTTTATCACAAATCTAAATATGCACTGATTTTGATTTGTTAAATTTTGATAACTTTAAACCAAATTCTTTTGAATGTTTATTGCAGGTAGCTGTATCCGATTTTTTTTTTTTTTCATATACTAGTAAAACTGATTGGAAGAAGTCAGCTTCTCTGAAAAAATCCACCATTTTACCCAGTTTTGCATGCATGACACATCCAGTCTACCCATGTTTTCTCTTGTTTTTATATCATAGCTTTTGGCATTAGGAGCTAAATGAACTTATTGAGGTAGGGTAGCTCATCTTTCTTTTTTGAGATTATAGGAGAGTGCATGACTAAGAATTTGTTGTGATTTTTTGTTTATATATTGTGTAATTTTATCTTTTCATATTCATGGCTTGGATGAGGAGTACCTGACTGATTTTGATGTTTACTTTGGTAATTTTTAGTCCTCTCTAGAATATTTGCATATTGCTTACTTTATTTTAGGTGTTGAGATTTTTCTTTTTATATTTTAATGTTATTAATTAATCACACATTTTGTTGTAATTATGGTGTATGCATGTGAAAGAGTTTTGAATGCTCATTTAATCCCTGTAATTTACATGATCTGTTTGTATAACTTTTTATGTTATATCACTTAATCCATATCTCCCATAGCAATGAATGAAGTTATAATCTCATGATGGGCATTTTTACTAATCAGGAGATGTTATTGAAAGTTCTATTTTTGGAGAAGAAGATTTTAACCGTAAAGCCCATTCCAAAACCAGTGATAGGCCCATTCCAAAACCAGTGATGAATGGTCGATAACTTAGCATTAGGAAATCCTTAGCTTGGGTATCATGCAATTCAAGTATTTTCATCTCCAATGCACAATTCAATAAAGGTACTGATACCACACTTGATTTAGAATCCACAACTCATAATAGAAGGGATTGATTGAAATCCCTTAGTTTGGTTGACCCTCCTTAGGGCTTTTTGTATGCATTTTCAAGCCATTATATAGAAATAACCTAGGTCAGAGACTCTAAGAATTTAATTGGCTAAGTGACCAAAATGCATGTCATGAATACCCAACGTCTTCTGTTCATTATTAGGGTTGTTGTAAGTAGGATGAATAAGAAGGGCGGGTTCTCCTTCTTCCTCATCTCCACCGTCTCCTTGTGACGTTCTTCTTCTTTCACTATATATGATATGAAAGAAATGTTCGATTAGATGGGAAGGTAGATGATCAGGTGGATTAGGATAAACGTGAATTATGATAGCAAAGTTTGGATTTAGACATCGTATCTTTTGCTGACTTGATATATTATTGAGGTGTTTCAACAATATTTTCTTTTTCATTTTTAGTCAATGCAATTTAAACATATGCTAATGTGAAATGTACATGTGCATGCACAAGCACTGTTTGCATGCACATGTATGGGTGTGTGTGAATGTGTGCATGCTTATTTGCCAGTGTTTGTGATTGTGCTTGTATGTGTGCTTATGTGCATCTTTTGGTTCAAACTAAATTGAGTTTCTTTTTGTTTTGATTCAAACCATATTGAGGAAAGATTGTCTTACCTTGTGAGCTACTTCATTTTCAAGATTAACTCTTTGCTCAATTTATGATATACTATTTACTTAGATTTGGTGTTTGATTAATGTTATTAATTTAGTTCATATGGATTTCAATTTACAAAAATCATTAATAAAAATAAATGAAATGATCATTGATTCTTTGACCTTTTTTATCACTCAATTGAGCCCTTAAGTTGTGTTATTGAGTTCTATGGTGCTTGCTTAAACCCGTACAACCACCATCACAACTTTTCTCTTCTTGTCCATGCATCTTTTCGTTTAGGGGTGTCAAAAGTTGACTTGACCTGGACCTGACTCGAAAAAATCAGGGTTCAGGTCAACCCGTTTGTAAAACGGGTAGGGTTCGGGTTTAGATTTCTAACTTGTCTGAAAATCGAGTCGGGTTTGGGTTGACCTGAAAACCCGAAGATGACCCGGTGACCTGGATCCCGTCCTTTCGTGGACTGACATCCAGCCTCTGGCATCCCCGCACCTGCCTCGCCGCGGATTCTTGGTTCTTTTTCCTCTTCCTTGTATTCTCCAACAACCATTTCACCGTACGAAGCCATACCAATCGTTAGCTCTCTAACTTCCGGTTGCTTGAGACTTATCTTTCGTCTTCGTATGTTAGAGTCCTTGTCAAGAGAGCATGTTGAAAAGGTGACCATTTGTGGGTCTTCGAAAGAATTCTACTCACGCGGAACAGAATGCAAATGGTACGATCGCACTATCCTGTAGAACAAAACGGTCATAGGCCTTTACACTCTAGTAAGCAGACCAATAAAAGAGCAGATGAGATTATATATACGATTAACCATAAAAAAATATACGATTAACTATGAAGGATAATGGTTTTCACCTATACATCTCGATGATTAATAATATATATAACCGGATCAAAGTCACGAAAATTCTCCCATCCGATACATCAGCTCGAACGAGGCTTATTTGATGTGGGGATCGGTTTACTACGGGCATAAGCCCATGTTGTTAATTACATCTTAGTCCTCAACCTAAGAAAACTCTCAATTAAAGATGATACATTATTCTCTCCAGGGATTTAGCGCATAAGGAATTTTTAGGCTCTCCTAAATTAAATGAAGATAGACTCAATTGGTTACTTCAACACACACGAATCAAACAAGCACTCAGCCAATCAAAATAAGAGAAACTAGAAGAGAATTCACTTCATACCACATGCGTAAGGGAAAGATGGAAGCGGTGCCATCAAAATGACTCGGATGGGTAGAATTTATAGCATCTGAAGAATGAAGGACTTACCCACGATAAGGCATGCCACGATATACTAATACCGCCAGCCTTTGATCCTAAATCTACAAGGGACGTACTGTAAACTCAGTATAGATGTTCACGACCTAATGCAACATACCACAACGAGACTTATAACTTAAATCCCACTAGGGATCTAACAGCCCTGACCTGGATTTACCACCATGCTCGGAAAGGCGTATCAGTTAAACTCCACCTAGCGTTTTAAATCCATAAAATTCAGTCTTATGCAAATGCAAGAGTGGTGGGAGGTATAGAAAGGAAATGAGCACTAAACCCGACCATGGATGTTACTATGCTTATGCGAAGTGAACTATTCCTCTATGTTATAAAATAAAAATCTATATGATTGACCCAGGGTTATGCATGTATAGGTGTTGCTAATCAGGATTGGCCAGTAGTCACTATTACGTGAACAAGACTTACTCATTATCATTTTAAAAGGTGACCCTTTAAATGAGCAATGCATTAATTTTTGAGAAATTTGTTGATTTTAGTCATATATTAGTTTTTATCTTCCTTAAACAAATTTTAGCTTTATAGAAGGTTTAACATCCTAAAAAGCCTAATGTAAAGACTCCGTCCGAGCCACCCCAAATCAAAACAGAGTAAGAAACGTAAGAAAAAGAATATAGTTCTAATGCGCAAACAAAGTAAACACATCATCATAATATTAATCAAAATGTTCAAAGTCTGTGGCAAACACCACTTATTATACAACCCAAAAAGTGCTGAAAAGTAAGGGTGGCCGTGCCGCAACGACAATAACCCTAATTATATCCCTATGAAATGACGCAAGTCTTAAAAAATGAGGTATTTTTCGTTTATTTTCGCCTTCTTATCCTTTCAAGCTCTTCGTGGTGCGTAGTCCAATAAGATATCAAAATGAAAAAAAATTCTCTGTAAGGAACTTTCTTTTCGTTTTGGATCCCTAATATCTTAAAAATACTGCATTTATAAGCTTTCACAACTCTTTAAATCAAATTACATTTTAAAAGAAGAAAATTGCATTAAGCTCCTACAAAAAATACATATTAGTACAGTGATAGTAATCATATATAAATCACCCACAACCTAGTTCGTAGGGCCATATTCCCAAGGGCTTTAGCATTCCTCGTGGTACCTGTTACAAAATGCATTTATAATTATGATTTAAGCATTTTTTTATTTCCCTTTGGGAACATGACCACCTGTAAAAGATATTTTAAAAAAATATCTAATCATTTAAGGGCAAGTGCCCATTCATTAATCAGAAAGAAAAGAAAGAAATCAAAACTAAAGAAAACCTGAAAAACACATCACCATATATATCATCACTAATACAAAACGAAAAAGAAAGAAAGTGAAAAGGTTATCCTTGTTACACCATGCCCTAGGGTGCCTATTAAAGGTGTTCTATCCAGCACCTAAGTGTATGCAAAAAATCTAAGTGTGTGCAAAAGGGTGTACCTTACTAGCCTAAATTAGGTGAGTGGTTCAAGTTATGAGGTCGGGTTCTTTTTGTTCAATTTATTAACCCTCAAATTTCTTTTTAAGTGTTTAGTCATTTAAGGTGAATTAATTAACACTTAGCTTTAGGATTAAAAATTTAATTATTAAATTATTAAAAGCCCAAAAGGCTTGGGCCCTAATCTATACTAAGGTTATAAAGAATTGAGGGACAAATGACCCATACTCAATTCTACTCTTAATTAAGATGATATGATTTTTATAGGTGGCAAGGGTTGGTTAGTCATTCCCTTGGTAATGATCTAAGACTCGGGGAATGACTAATAGGTGACACCACTAAGATGAGCCTATTGCCCACCATAAAAAAAGAAAATCCTAGGCTCTATATGTCTAAGGTAGATTCATTTTTAAAGGTTGAAATGAGAGTAGAGAGATTCACTGCCTAGAGATATGTATAGGTTCTACCTAACCTATGCTTTAATAGTTGGGTGGTCAAGGCAATTAACTTAGGTTCTTAAGGGTGACTTTGAATTTTTAATAAGGGAATGATGTATATAAACTTTTGTATTATCTCTCCTTAATTTATGAGG